CCATAGCAACCCTGGGCCTCAAGGCTTGTCCTCCCCACACTCTCCAGCATTAGGTTGAGAAATAGGCATTGCCGACCTGCTGGCCATGAGCCCCCAGCTCTGTGGCTCCAATTCCCTCCATGCCATGCAGGAGGGCACTGGGCTTCGAGCCACTGGCCCCTGCCAGCCCTGTCCAGCTACTGCAGGACTTGGCTGCTTCCCCACACAATCAGGATGGGGTCAAAGGAGGTGGGCAGGCTGGGTGAGCTCACGCTCACATCCACAGGAGCCCACACCTCCAGCCCCCACCCTGCAGTGAGGGGCAAAGTGGGGCAGGAGTCCCCGTAGGGCTCCGCAGTCCTGGCCAACCTCGCTCTGGGCTCTCCTGCCCTCGGCATGGCACTCATGTGGATGGGAGTGGTGGTCCCTGCATGCGCATGGTTTTGTGAGCATCCCACGTGGCACTGCTGGGGATGTCCTTGCTCCCTGCCGAGCCCCCGGTTTCTGCGGCGCGGTGTCCGTGTAGACCCTGTTGTGGCTTTGATGTCACCTGAGGTGTTGGACAGGGCAGCCGCCAGGCCAGAGTGGGGCTGGGAACTGCCTCCACCCTCTCCTTTGCTTGTCTCCCTGCTGCGACATGCACAGAGGTCCTCTGGGACAGGGCACGAAGTCCAGAGCTCCCACCCCAGGGCACCCCAGAGCCTGCAGGCACTGACGGTCCCTCTCTCCTCGCAGGGCTGTCGGGCAGGGCGGTGCCCACCCGGCGCTGGGGAGCAGCGGAGCAGGAAGGAGCTCACGCCAGCACGCGCGCGGGCGCGTGGGTTGTGTCCTCGCTCTGCAGGGAGAGATGATTGACCGCATCGAGTACAACGTGGAGCACTCGGTGGACTACGTGGAGAGGGCTGTGTCTGACACCAAAAAAGCGGTGAAGTACCAGAGCAAAGCCAGACGGGTGAGTCACGGCTCTGTCTGGGGCCCGTCTGCCCCTGTCTGCACTGCTGACACCTCTGTCCCGGGGGCAGGGCTCTGCTGGCACCCTGCCTGCCCCGGGCAGAGTGGCACAGCCTCGCAAGTGCCTGGGCACTGCATTTCCCCACACCAATGTCAGCAGCCCATGGCACAGCTGAGGCAGAGCTCCCAGCACAGGCTGCATGAAAGCTGACAATGAGCCGTGGGGCAGGCCTGCTGCCTGTGCTTGGGGAGAGGAAGAGGGACAGGGTAGATCCCCTGGGCCAGGCCTGCTGTGAGAGCCATGCCCCTTGCCATAAATAAGTAGAGAAAAGGCATGGTCCACCTCAGACCCTGAGCATAGTGCCAGCTGCCTGTCCCGCTCCTGACACTTGGTCCTGTATCAGCTCAGGAACCCAGGGGCCACCAGCTCAGCTCAGCCAGCCCAGAGCTGAAGCAGGAGCTGGGGTGCTCATCCCTGCCCAGGGCAGCCAGAGCCCCTCTGGCTCCCAAGGTGCTGCCCAGAGCCCACCACGGGCAAAGGGGAACGAGGGCAGACTGCAGCCTCAGCTCCCGGGTGCATCCTGCCCCAACACTCACCATCCCCTCTCCCCTCTCTCCCTGCCGCTGCCGGGACACCTGAGCAGAAGAAGATCATGATCATAATCTGCTGCGTGATCCTGGGCATCGTCATCGCCTCCACCTTTGGCGGCATTTTCGGCTAAACCCACCCCACGGGACTGTTTGTGTGCGATGGACGGAGCCGCGCGTGCCATGGGGCTGCAGCCACGCCGGAGCGACCCACGCAGCCCCGGAGCCTCCCAGCAGCATTTCAGTTTCTAATGCATGGTTGTTTGTGACGCTGTGTGTGCGGTGCGGTGCGTCTGTGTGGAGGGAGCGCCGGCCCCGGGGTGCAGGCGGGGGGCCAGGGACGGTGATGGGCACGAGGGGGACCCTGGAGGGGGGAACCCGAGCTCTCATCACTGCTCCAGCCCGGGTGGCTGGCTGGGACCAGGTGGGGACAGAGGTGCCCTTGGGGCGCTGCTGCTCCTCCTGTGCTGGGCAGTCTGTGCTAGAGACAGCTGAGGATGAGGAGGGACGGGAGGCAGGTGTTAGGGGTCTTCGGGAGCGCAGTGCCCAGTCAAACCTCCCCAGCTTCCCCATCACCTCCAGCCAGAGCTCTCATGTCTGTCAGCCGCGTCTGTGCTTGCAAACACCTTCCCTTGGGCTGCTTCGCTCCGGGGTCCTTCCCCAGGGGTGTGCTCTGCCCGGCCCTACCTGTCCCGTGGCTGTGCCTGGCTCTGGGGCTCTGTCCCTGTCACTCTGCCAGTGGCAGGGCTGTCCCCTCCCCAGGAGAGCCTTCACTCTGGTGCAGGTGCCAGGGGCTGGATGTGCTGCTGTGGGTGGTGGGTGCCTGATGGAGCGGTGTGGGATAAGCAGCTGCTGCTTGGGGCCATCACAGTTGCCTGGGGACAGGGACAGGCCACGTGGGGCCCTGTGCTGCACCTGGTTGCTGGCCTGGCAGGGCAGGATGGCACAGGTAGTTTACAGCCAGTGAGTTTCGTTGTCTGGTCGCCCTGCACCGGAGCCTCATCATTCTGCCCTCAGCCCTGGCACGTGGTGGTCCTGGTTCCTGCTGCCCCAAGGCCTGGGCTCTGTCACTGGGATTTGGGGCTGGCACTGATGCCCACAGCCCCTGGCAGCACCTTCCTGCTCCATTCTGGCTTCTCTACACAGGCCAGAGGTTGGAGGCAGCTGGGCTCTCTCCTGTCGTGGTCCCAGGAGCAGCCCTTGCTGCATCCACCCCCCTGCAAGCAAGGCCTTCCTCCTCCTGTATCCAACCAGCTCCTGAGCAGGCCAGTGCCTGACTGCCCCTTTGCCGCCTCCTGGCACCCCCCTTCCCCTGGCACAGTGCCCTTCTGCTCAGCCATCCCATGAGGCACCTGCCCACGTGCTGTGGGAGCACCTCTGCCATGCCCAGGAGATGGATGCAGCTGCTGGGGGGTCCTGCTGGCAGCTCAGAGGGGTCCTGTGCTGCCACTGCCCGTTTCCCTGGGGCTGGGGACAGGGCTCTGCCCTCACCTTCCTCCGGAGAGCCCAGGGCTCCGGCTGGCCCATGCACTTGCCAAAGCACCCCAGAAGAGCCCCGAGCAGGGGAGGCACCTGAGGCCAGGCTCACTGCCATGCACTGGGATAGGGCTGTGAACCCAAGGGGCACTTGATGACAGCCAGTATTCCAGCCAGGGGCAGTGTCACCTCCCTGCTCTCACGGGGGCCAGAGCAGGGCTGCTCCAGCAGCCGGTGGGAATGCTGTGGCTCAGGCGCTGGTTGTGTGGTGCCCCTGGGTGCGGGGGAAGGCAGTGGCTGTAACCACTCAGCGCTGCCTCCCCCGGGGCCAGCCCTGCCCAGCAGCAGCCCCAACACGACTCCTTCGCTGCCACTGTCACCAGAGGTCCCACCGTACAGCCCCTGGTTGTGTCCAGCCGCCCTTGGGAAGCGATTCCAGCCCAGTCCCCCGCACTGCCCAGCCCAAGCCCCTCGGGGTGCGGCCAGTGGAACACCCAAGGCCGGAGCCCCCCTTTCTCGGTCTTGCACCAATGGATGATGTCAGCTCCAGCACTGCGTGCAGCCTGCGTGGGCCGAAGGGCTGAGGGCAACCGGGACCGCCCAGGCAGGGGCAGAAGGGAAGCACGGGCAGGGTCCCTGCTCTGGGAGGGACATGTCTGGTTGCAGGAAAGGGAGCTGGAGGTGATGCCAAAGTGCCCGCGCTCCTGCCCCTGTGCAGCTCCCTGCCACGGCCGCCTGCGCTCGCCATGCCGGGCCAGCGAGAGCCTCGGGCCCCTCCTCCGGGAAGCAATAACGCTGGGCAGGCAGGAAAACCCTCCTCCCAGGCTCCCGCCCTGCAGCCATGCCCTCTGCTAGCACAAGGTGACTTTTTTTTTTTTTTTTCTTCTTCCAAGCAGCGGCTTTTGTGGCACATGCTCACCCGACATCAGGGCTGTGGCACCCCCGTCAAGGCACAAGGGGAATTCTGGCCCTTGCTCCTTCCTTGTTGGCACCACCACTGCCAGCAGCCCCCCAGCAGCAGGAGCCGGGCGGGGCCAGTCGGGGCCGCTGGCACTTTGCTGGGATCCTGCAGGCCGTGGCACTGCCAGGCTCCGAGGCGAGGAGCAGGCTGCCACTGCTGCCCCACAGGCAGGCTCACACTGTCCTCGCTGTGAGGGGAGGGTGTTTTGGTGCAATAATTACCCCTGCACTACGGGAAGCCCCGTTCAGTTCCTTTTTACCTACCTGTCGTTGCATGTACAGACCAAATCACCAAGTGTGGTTGTGCTTTGGGAAGACATTTCACTTTTTTCTTTTCCAGCCCTCCCCCCAACCTCCGCCCGCTTGTCCTTTGGGTTCCACCACCTCTGTTCCAAGTGCCACCTGCCCTCCCCGCGCCGGGAGCGTGTCGATGCAGTATTCCACGAGCAGTGTGGGGCACGCACAGCTTGCACTCGAACTGGGGATTGGTTTTTTTTGTAATTAATGTACTTGAAGGCTTTCCGAGCCCCCCGTGGAGTTGTACTGTTGCTGTACTGTGAGCTAAGTGTCCTTGTTTTCTATGTGGATCTTGACCCTGGCTTGCTCTGTCTCACTGGGCTGGATGACACTGTATGTTGCCTCTTTTTTCCTTCCCCCTTTTCCCTCCCTGCTAGCCTCCCTTTCTTCTCCCAAAGCTTTGGGTGCAAAACAGCTTCCCATTTTGTGGAATTTTTATGTAGAATAAACATTTGTAACTGTAAAGCCCTGGCTGGCACCTCTGCTTCAGGGGGAAGGGAAGAGGTGATGGGGTACAGCCAGCCCCAGTACCATGGGAGCACTAAAGCAAACAGGATACCAAGCACCCTCGGGAGCGATGCCCCCAGGAATAACATTTCTGCCACGAGGAAGCTTTGCCCTCATGGGATCCTCAGCTTTACAGTACCTGACTCCCTGTCTGCACACAGAGGGGGAGCTGGCAGGGAACCAGGTGCCATATTCCTCCCTCAGTACTCCTCAGCATGGAAACAGGACACAGGAAACCAGCAAACACTTCCAACTTGTAGACTCTTTAGTGAGGAGGCTGGATATCATGTCCTGGCTCACCTGGAGCTCAGCTGGCTCGCTGCACTCAAGAAGGTAAGCAACAGCACTGCAGACACCAAGTGGCCAGAGCACTGTCTGCCACTCCACCTTCAGCAGGCGAGCAGGGCTGGAAGCTTTGCAGTTGGCTGTTGGGCAGCACCTGAGCCAGTTTACACCATCAGGAGCCACAATGGCCTGTCCCAGCAAGTCTAAGGTGTGGGGTGCCCATCTGTGCCATCCACAGGAGGCTCGCTGGAAGCACCCACACACCACCTTCCCCAGCAGCAGAGTCCAGAGCAATTCAGAAGCGAGGGCGGCGCTTCCGACCTGTGTATTTCGTGTCTGCTCGCACCTCCCTGTGGGGAAAAGCAGGGAGCAGCTCAGCACCACCCACAGGTCACCTGGGAGGGCAAGGGAGAGGGGTTGTGGCAGGAGTTTGGACAGGTGACAGCAGGCCAGGCCAGCCTCAGATGAACTCACTTGCCCTGCCGTCGTCTACGCTCCTTCTTCTCCAAGATCCAGTCCCGGCTTTTCTTCACAGACTTGCCCTTGATGTTTTTGAACCGTGTCCTGTGGAGAAGGCAGACAGCAGCTGGAGAGGAACTGAGGTGTGGGGACACAGTTCTCTGCCCCAGAGGACTGTCACCCAGAACTGGGTCACAAAAGCAGCGAGTTCCCCTCCCACCAGTCCTGGATAAGAAGCTCAGACAGCACTGGGGCAGATGCCAAATGGTCCAACTCCACATAAGCTGGGGAAGGAGGCTGCTTCCAGCCCAGGCTCTGAGCTGAGGGATATTGACCATTTACAGACTGCAGCAGGTCCCCTGTGCCATATCTGACACACCAGCAGCATACTGGGACCTCGGGGGATTACAGACTGAAGCACAACCACCTTCCCTTTGTCCACTCTACTCCAAACAAGGCAAAGTCTCTGGCTTCCCAAAAATTTCCCAGTTCTGCTACCGCCCTTCAAGACTAACTACTACCCTCCTCTTGGACTAAGTGAGCAGAGAACAGCAGTGTAAGAGGTAGGAAAACATGGCAGCCACAAGCTCCTGGCAGCCACGACGACTTTCCTCTGGTTTTTGTTCTCTGTCTCTCCCACAGGCTGCAAGAGGGGCTCCTCCCTGCACCACTGCCATGGGAGGAGACCTGGACAGCAGGAGAAACCCCCCAGGCCACAGCTAAGCAGAGCCAAGAAAAGAACTGGACAGCAGGAAAAAAGGAACACCAAGGTTCAGGCATAGCAGCCCTCATGTTTGGCATCACCATCCCTGTAAATATTCCCACTTCCACACCACTGGTCCCAGCTGGAGAGCCCAGTGCTGGACAGAAAGCACCAACAGCCCTACGGCAGAGCCCTCCAAACTAACCAGTTCTGTTCCCTGTCTCTGAGGCCCTTGGGGAACAACAAGCAGTGCCCACCCAGGCTGCCAAGTGTCCTCCCAGTCCCTCCCCTCCCAGCACATCTCGCAGGCAGTGCTGTGGTCCCCAGGAAAACCCAGCTTTTCCCACTCCTTGCTGGGCAGAACCTGCAGCTTCACCCCCACACGATACCTCTCGTTGGTGAACTTTGCCTGGTGCAGCTCTTCATCAGCACACTCGGTACCAAGGCCCTGGAAAGCAAAACTGGGAAGTTGTGCTCCCCTCTGGAGCAGACACAGCTGACAGCCGTACCATCAGAATTAGGGGGAACACAGGGATCTGCAAGGGGAAGGAGCGGAGCAGGAACAAACTGGTCTTCCAGAAATTGTACCAAAGAAAGCACAAGTCAGGGGAGTAGCTTTAAACTGAAAGATGGCAGGGCTAGATTGGATATTGGGAAGAAATTCTTCCCTGTGAGGGTGGGCAGGCCCTGGCACAGGTTGCCCAGAGAAGCTGTGGCTGCCCCATCCCTGGAAGTGTCCAAGGCCAGGTTGGACGGGGCTTGGAGCAACCTGGGATAGAGGAAGGTGTCCCTGCCCATGGCAGGGGGGTGGAATGAGCTGAAGTCCCGTCCAACCCAAACCATGATTCTATGAGAGGGGTTGGTGACTGGCAGCAAATGCATACATAAAGTCACATCTGCCCTCCCAGAGCTGCCTGACTCCCACTCTGCCCACAGCTCTTCCACATCACCCAGCAGCCAGGACAGCAGCTCTGCTGCCTCCTGGAGCTCCTCACCTTTGGTAATGTGCCTGATGCCCCAACAAAGAGACAAAGGAAGAACCTGAAATAACAAGAATAAAGAGCATGAAGCTGGGATTCAGCATGTGGGTCTCAGTCCCAAGCAAGACTGGGATGGTTTATAAGAGAATCAGATTTAAGCTGTAAACTCTGTCTAGGGCTCTATCATAAGAGAGAGAACAGCTTGAGAAAAAAAGAAAAATCACTGCTAAACCCTCCCCTCAGCCCAACCACACACACAGAGACCCAGGACTCACTTCTTGGCTTTGGCACTGTTGGGGTAATCGACCACCATTCCCCCAGTAAATCCAGCTCTCATGGCTTGGGCTGTGATGAGCTCCAGCTGGAAAAGAGAAGCATGTGCAAAAATTTATCATCAGTCACCCCCCAGGAATGCCCAGGGTACCTCTGGGAGGACCACAGCTGACTGTGCATGCCCAAGATGCTCCTGCTAAGCTCTGCACCCAGCTCCTGGTGCCATCCAGACACCAGTTCCCTGCCTTTGTTTGGTTCTCCCTGCTCCTCAGTCTACCCTGGGTTAACTCTCTAGGAAAGGGATACTGGGCTGGATTTTCCAGCCCTGGGGAGTTACAGTGCAGTGCTGGTGACTACAGACAGTCTTCAAACTCAGACACAGTGGAGAAAATGCAGGACAGCAGGTTCAGATGGTGTCCTGCCACTTTCTTTGATTTTAAGGCTCAGCCCAAGACAATCTACAACGCAACAGAAACTGCACAGGGTGTTCTCCTTACAGGTTATTTCTTTGGGCTCTCGAGGAGCTTTCCAACTTGCAAAAAAGACAGACACAGAGCCGATGTGGAGGAACACGATGCACTCAGAGCCCCAAACAGCACCCACACCCCTTCCCCACTGACTGATGGCCTGTACCTGCTCTGAGTTCTCGGGGTACAGCTGCAGCACAGCTCGGGATCCTCGGGCCTACGGGAAATAAAGCTGGTCACAAACCCGTGTCAGTGCAGACAACCCCTCTGGTCACCCCATGCCTGCCCCAGACACGAGCTCCCACCTCCCCAAAACCTCCGTGGCAAGGCTCCCAGAGCCAGTGAGCCACGAGGGATCACGGAAGGCAGTGGGTGCTCCTGCCAGTCCTGCCTCAGAGCAGCATTTACTTAAAACACCTGGCTTAAAATATCTTGCCAAAAGGCATGAGCAAGGATGTAAGAGCAGGAGAGGCCTGGCAGGGAGAGTGTGGCACTTACCAGGGCAGTGTAAAGAGTGGAGAAGAATCTGTAGAGGCGTTTTGGGGGGCTGTGTGATTTCTTGTCAGCGTTACAGAGCCACTGCACTGCAGAAATGCTGAGGAGCAAAACAAGACCCCCCCCCAAGACACTGAGTCATCAGTTTCTTCCCAGAGCCTGTCACCTCTCTGTGAGCTGAATTCCAGCACTAAACATGTGCTGGGCCTCGGGGAAATGATTTAATTGCCTCCACGTAGCTTTGCCTTCTGTTTTGCAGTTACACAAACCCCTCTGGAGACTCACTACGCCAAATCCCAACAAGTAGCTATTCAAGGCCAAAAGCATCACCAAGCATCCCCTTTAGGCCAGGTGCTCAAATCTTAGGATCATGAAATGGTTTGGGTTGGAAGGGACCATTCAGAGTGAGATCATTCCACCCCTGCCACGGGCAGGGACACTTTCTACTACCCCAGGTTGCTCCAAGCCCCGTCCAACCTGGCCTTGGACACTTCCAGGGATGGGGCAGCCACAGCTTCTCTGGGCAACCTGTGCCAGGGCCTTCCCACCCTCACAGGGAAGAATTCCTGCCATACACATAACCTCAATTTCCCCTCCTTCAGTTTGGACCCATCACTCCTTATCCTATTACTGCAGCTCCTGATGATAATTCAAGAGCTCAGCTGTGACCCCTGCCTGGCCAAGCAGGTTTTCCCAGTGAGCAATCATAATCAGACCTTTTGGATCAGTAATGGACAGTCCCTGCTCTTTCCCAGCACCTTCCTGAGCTATTCTAAGCAGAAAAGTGCTTCTGTGCCCTTCATTCCAAAACCAACTACCAAACCCTTGATTCAGGGACTGACCTCGCCGAGCAATGCTACAGACACACTTTGCTCTCCTCTTTGGCGCAGGTCTCAGCCCTCCTGACAATATCCCCAATTTTATTTTATTTCCCTCAACAAAATTCCGAGCTCACCAGCACAAAAGGACAAACATCACTTGGGAAAACAGCTGTCAGGAGCTGCTTCTAGCATCCAAAATCTTGGCTGGTTGTCCCAGAGTGACGGAGTGAAGTTGCACAGGAAGCAAAGAGCAGCTGACAAGGGCAGTGCTGCCCACCTGTGATGCACCAGACGTGCACTATGTGTGCCCTCAGTTCTGTGGAGCACCAGGAGAGCTCATTTATGGGCACAGACTCACCTGATACAGCCGTCAAACATGCCAGGCCTGAAGGGAATGCCGTGACCTACGTCTGCCAGGAGCAGGTCTCCTTCCACCTCCCTCTCCACAGCCACATCTGCAGGGAACAGAGCACAGCTCAGGCAACCAGCTCCCCGCTTTGGGGACCTCTGAGGCACGGTGGGTGTGCCAGGGCAGGAAGGTCTGCTCACCCAGCATGGCAGGGCTGATGTCCATGCCAATCCAGTAGTGGCCCTCCTCAGAGATGTAATCCCCGCTCAGCCCTGACCCGCAGCTGGAGGGAAGAGTGGGGAGAGCACAGAGCTCACCGGGCTGGTCTGAGGGTGCTGCCGGCCAGACTCAACGCTGCAGCACCCTCTTCTTCGGCCCACAAGAGACACCCACCACCGCATACCCCTCCCACTCCCCCGGCGCCAGGCAGAGAGCCCCGCTCACCCCACGTCCAGCAGGAGGCACGGCCGGTCCTTGGGCAGCCCCAGCAGCTCCACGGCGCGCTCCGACATCTGCGACTGGATCTCCACCACGCGCGAGCTGCAAGACACGGGCGGAGCACGGGCCAAAGGCGACACCCCCTCGCACCCTTCTCCCGGCAGGATCCGAGCCCCGGCCCTGCCCTCCCGCCCCGCCGATGCCTCATGGCAGGGCCGGGCCCCGCCGAGCCCAGCCCCACTCCCCCCACCCACGGTGTCCGCCCCATGATGAGACCCCCCCCGCCAGCCCCACGGCCCCGGTCCCCCCGTACTTCTGCGTGTACTTGCGCGCCTCGGTCTCGTCGTAGAACTGCAACGAGAGAGCGGCGGGGGCGGTGAGGCCCGGGACGGACCCCCGGGAGGGACCCGGTTACCCCCGTGCCCCCCTCCAGTCCCGCCCCTCACCAGCTCGGGCGGCCCGCGGTGCTCGGGCCGGCGCCCGCTGCCCGCCATGCTGCCGTCGTGTGACGTCACTGCCGCGCGCCGCGCCGCCGCCGCCGCCTGACGTCACGGCTCGTTGATCGTGCCTCAGCGTGACGTCACCACATCGTAGGGCATGCTGATCGTGACGTCATCGCGTCGCCGCTCATCCTGCTTGACGTCACCGTCCCGCCGGCCGCGCCTCCGAATGACATCACCGCCCCACAGGCCGTGCCCTCCCCATGACGTCAGCGCCGCGCGCCGCGGCGCGCAGGATGGCGGCGGCGCGCGGGCGCTGAGCGGCCCCGATGGAGCTCGGGCGGCTGCGGCGCCGCCTCCTCCTCCTCCTCCTCCCCGCGGCCCCGCCGCCCTCCCGCTCCGCGCACACCGGCGGGGGCGGCGCCGGGGCCCCCCGGCCGCGCCGCGACCTGTACGAGGTGCTGGGCGTGCCGCGCACGGCCACGGCGGCGCAGATCAAGACGGCGTACTACGAGCAGTCGTTCCGCTACCACCCCGACCGCAACGCCGGCAGCGCGGCCGCCGCCGCGCGCTTCGCCGCCGTCAGCGAGGCCTACCGGGTGCTGGGCAGCGCCGCGCTCCGCCGCAAGTACGACCGCGGGCTGCTCAGCCACGAGGAGCTGCGCGATGCCCCCCGGCCCGCCGCCCGCCCGCCCGGCGCCGCCGCCGCCCCGCCGCCGCCCCGCGCCCCCGCCACCCGCACCGGGCCCGGCCCGCTGCCCTTCGACTTCGACGCCTTCTACCGAGCGCACTACGGGCAGCAGCTGGAGCGGGAGCAGCTGCTGCGGGCGCGGCGGGAGCAGTTGCGACTCCGCCGGGAGGAGGCCGCGGAGCAGGGGCGCCTCAGGGCCCTCTCCAACCTGTCGGTGGGGCTGCTTTTCTTCGCGGGCGTTGCCATCCTCTACGGCCTCAAGTGACGGCGGGACGCCCCAGCTCCCCGATGTCACCAGGGCAGAGGGCTGGGGGTGCCCCCTGCACCTGCAGCTGGCAGACACCGTGTGTCTGCTGTTGGGCTGTGACAGTTCACTCTGCTGCTGTGACCTTCAGAGACGGTACGTGACCAGCAGGCTCCTTGGGCTGTGACCCGGCCCCTCTGCCAGTGTGACCTTCAGACACAGAGTGCCCCTGGCTGGCACAGGACGTGGCAGTGTTGTGACCTCTGGATACCCTCTGTGGGCTCTGCTCCACAGCCTGTGCTGTGCCCCCAGCGTGACCTTGCACAGGTGGTATGAGAGCCCCATGGGCTCTGGTGTGCTCCCCGGCTGATACCACCTGCAGACACAGTGCCTGCCAGGCAAACGTGGCTCCTGGACGTTGGACTGGGATGTGTCCCCTCCTTTGGCACAGCTGTGTGACCTTGGTGTGCCCCCAGGTGCCTGTTGTGAGCTGCAGCAGAGATTACAGGCTGTCAGAGGTAGCATGTGCTGTGTGTGTTCAGGGCTGTGCTCACCGTGGTTTCTGCTAATCCCAGACCTGCCACCTCTGTGCTGTCACACCTGCCAGTACTACATCTCTGTGGGATTTTAGGAACGTTGATATCCAGTCTGTGTCACTGCCCTTGTCTGACCTTGCTCAGGGTGGTGAGTACAGAAGTGTTGGCTTCAGACCTGGCCTGGAAGGATGAAACCTGGGTCCATGGTGGCTCACGTCCTGCTCAGCACGTGACATTGCCTGGAGGTGCTCCCCAAAACACTTCCATGTCTGAAGTTCTGTGCCCTGTCTGGGGCCTGCCAGGAACTTTGCACAAGCCCCTCCCTCCAAGGCCTTTGGGAGGGGTGCAGCTGGGAGCACCGAGTGCCATTACCCACGTTTTACACATATCTGAGCATCATTTGCACATGAGAGTATTCGCCTATTTAAATATTGAAGTGTTTTAAGAGCTGAAGATCTCTCAGAAGCTTTTCTCTCTCCTTGTTGGGAAGGGTTCACCTGTGCTGTACTGCTGCTGCCTGGAGGGAGAGAAGCTTCACAGCAGTGACCTGAGTGTGCCAAAGACTTTGCCTGGGGTGTGCAGGAGCCCAGCCCTCGTTATCTTATAACCCAGAGCCTGGGCCATGTTTTGTCCCAGCACAAGAATGTTAAAAACAAATTCCCTGTGTTTTCCACTGTGCAGTTCTGCGATCCTGATCAGAGCCTGGGGCAGTGGCACAGCAGGAAGCACCACATCCTGCTTTCCAGGATTGTTCTCTGCCTTTTCTGGAGAGCCTTGTGCCACTTCCAGCTGCAGACTCCAGAGGCTGCTGCATGCTTGGAGTAAATTCAGCTGAATTTCAGGCAGAGAGAGCTTTTCAGGATCCTCTCGTGGTTGCCAGTCCATCCCTCTGTGTGGCATCACAGTGCTGAAGCATCAGTGTGGGAAAAGCAGGAGCCCAACATTCATGGGTTACAGAGGGAAAGTCTCTAGAGTTGTGGCTCTGGCATGTGCTGATGCATTTTCATGCTCCTTGTCATGCTGTAAACCAAATCATTGGAAAGATCAGAGGTGGCTCTTCTGACAAAGTCTGGCAGAAAACATTCTTTTCCAGGCTGGAAAAGCTAGAGGTGTCCGTGGGAAGCAGTGGGCACTGGGGAGCACCTCTCTAGCTCCTACCCAAACAGGTGGTTTGAGCAGTTCCTACTACTGGTTCTTCCTCAGGTCACCGTGATGTATCTTGAACATTAAAGACATCCATCCATAAACTGGTGATAAAATGGCACATCTTTCTTTTGGTGGTTCTGGGTGGTAAATATTCCCTGCACTTGCTGGAGAACAGGGTTGGGGGTCAGGTGGGTGTTTCACATCCTGACTGCAGCCAGTGAAGAAGAGTGTGGGGAGCTGGTTCCAGTGCTGGGAGGGGTGGGCAGCCTACAGTCAGTGGGGCAGGGTGGCCTCCCTGGGGAAGTGTGGTATGCAGGGTGCCCTAAACCTTCTCACCAGTGTCACCTTTGCCCTGGTCATGCCTGACTGCTCCTCTGCTCCAGGAAGGATTTCAGGAGCTTGGGCACAAAGTGGCTGGAGCTGGTCCAAACACACAGACACACACAGGGTTCTGCCCCTTCTTCTCCTTGTGTCAATAGTGTCATTGCATTCTTGTCGTTCCCCAGTTGTTTCCTTGGTGGAGAAGGTGCCAGGAGCAACTGGATTTGATGGTGCTTCCCTTTAGCCAGGAGAGCACAGCGTGTGGGGTTCCAGGGAGGTGCAGCAGGGCTGTTGGTGACAGCAGTGTGTGGTGGCAGGGGCTGGGTGAGCTGTACATGGTCAGAAGGTCAGCAGAGGGTGAAGCTCTGGAACTGCCTGTGGCCTTGGCTGCTGTCACACCTCAGGAACCAGGATGGATCCTTAAGGGTACTGAACCACAGAGGGTTGTTTCTGTACGAGACTGCTTTCCTGCAGCTGGGGGTAAGGCAGCAAACAGCTTCCACTTCCAGGTCTGCTGAGGGCTTTGCCTCTTTTTGAGGGCCTCCTGGCCTGTGCCCTCAAGGGGAGGTCAGGGAACATCCTTAGATCTGCTGGGAGAAGTGTGGTGTTCCCTGAGGGGACTTCCTCCTCCTCACTCACAAGCCCACTGGGGCCACTTTTACACAGTTTTTAGCACATCTTACCCCTCACTTCATCACTCTGTAGCTCCACATTTCATCTGCCTTCATGGTAAGTGATGTATTGTATCCCTGCTGGATGCTGGTCCTTCGGTCCTCTTGTCCCTGACACCATGTTTTGCCAGCACTGTGTCACCAAAAGGAACTGCCCGGGGGTGAGTTGCTGGTGGGGCCTCAGCTGTCACCCCATGCCAGGCCTGGACTTCTTTACCCACCTCTTTCACCTGAGGGGTTTCTCTGGGTTCCTTTGTGTTGCTCGTTGCCACCCTTGAATCACAACAGACATCACACTAAAGGGAAGCAACTAAATCTGAGTAATTGGCCACTTGGTGATTTGATAACTGTCACATCAAAAGGAAATCAGAAGTTCCAGGGAAGCTGAGACAAGCTGGATGAAGCCTGACAGCCCCAGAGCTGAGGCCTTGCAAGCTCAGTGCAGACCCCACTCCCCAGTCCTACCCCAGCCCGTTCTCATGGGTTGATGTCCCCATAACCACGGGTTTGGGGTGCTGAGCTGCTCATCTGGGGTGCTGGGTGCTGCAGCCTGGGGGTGTGGGGTCACAAAGCCCCATCAGGGCGTCTTCCTTCCTCCTGGAGTAGCTGGGCTGCTCGTTGGAAAGGAAGGGGTTAAACCTGGCCCCTGGAAGGCCTTTGGAGCTGCCAGCTGGGCTGGGGGCAGGAGGGGCTGGCATGGGCAGCAGGGTCCTGAGCTGCAGTAAGGGGTGGCCATCAGTCTCCTCCCAAAGGGGCTGGTCTGGCAGGGCTGGGGCTGAGGGGACAGCCCCTGGGACAACCTCAGCCCTCACCTGCCCCGGGATCTGTGGGCAGAGCTCTGCTCCCCAGTCCTGCTGCTGGTGGCTCTGCCCACCCTGGGAAGGGCTGCCATGCTTGGCAGCACCCGAGGATGGGGGGGGGCAGTTCCCCCTCCCTTCAGCAACATCCCCTGCAGCCACTCCTCTGTTAATAGAGTTAATTGTTAATAGAGTTCCCTTGATTAACAGCCCCAGTACCTGCCCCGGGGGGCCCAGCTGGGGCTCCCTCGCACCCCAACCCTGACTGACTCCAGCTCCAGCCCAGGTTTACACCCCATTTGCACCCCCACTGCCCCGGGGATTGTGGCTCAGGGGGTCTCCTGGGGACACCCCCCCACCCCCCCTCCTCTCCCAGCTGTCCTGGCTCTGGGGGCTGCTCCTTATCCAGCCTGGCTTCCACAGAGACAGTCTTGGGGAGGATGGGAGGGCACCCCCAGCTCCCTGCCCGGGTTTGGCTGCACACCAGCTGGAGGGGGGCTGGACTGGGCCCAGGCTGCTCCCTGGCCCAGCAGAAATAAATGCATGTGCACACCTGGTGGCAACCCTTCCTCCTCCTCCCTGGGGTGAGCAAGGGCACCTTGCCCCCCCCTTGCTGGGGCTCTGCTGGGCAGGGACAGGGAGAGGCAGGGAGAGCCACCTTGCAGGCAGGAGGGGCACAGAGGGTCACCCTGTCTGCTGCCAGCT